ATTATTAAAGGGACGACAACATTATGATACTTATGAGTCTATAAAATAGCTACTTACTAAGTCCCCCGACCCTCCAAGTATAGGATCCTTCAGGGAGGGTGGCTCAAGGGGGGAGGGTCCTAGGGAGCTTCAGGGAACCTAAGGGAGTACTAGGGAGAATTGGGGATTACCGGGTTATATACCCCCCTTAGAACCCCCTCCCTTAAGGATTCCATAAGGGTGGGTTACTTTTTCCGGGTTTAATTAAGGGACAAAGGTTTCATCAAGGTTTGCAGGGTTTCCGGGGGAAAGTAGGCGCGGTACGGTTTAGAATGTAGGGCTCCCACCAGATTCTGAAGACGCCCAAAAATCCAGAGCAGCTTTAATTATGACCCCAAGAGCTAAGAACCGAAATAGAGTACATCACCCGGAGGTCTTACTGCAATATTATTCCTCCCTAAACCCCTAAACCCTAAACCCTAAACCCCTAAACCCTCAACGTAAGTACTAGTTAGGGAACCTAAAATATTATTCCCCAACGTAGGTCTTAACCGAACCCTCGTAGGATCCCTTAGAAGGACCCCTGGCCCTGAACCCTTGGGCTCGGTTTCAGTTTTTTGCGCTTCCTTCGGTTCCAAGTACTAGTTAGGGAACCTAAACCCTAAAACCCAACATAGCCAGTACCAAAGCTTCCGGTACGAGCCTACCATTAGGGTTTAGGGTTTAGGGTTTCGGCTTCCTTGTGTAATTTTCTAGGTTCCCCAGTAGTACCCCTTCGCCCCTGTTTCTTCTTGGGTTCCACGATTGTAAAACCAAATAGTGGGAACAAGGGTTTCGTTGTTATTTAGGGGCGACTGCGGAACCTACCTATAGTCTCCATTGTAGTTCCTTTTTTTTGCTGTAACCAAACATATATTAAGGATGTTATAGGGTATCCCCAAAAAGGAACTACCCTAAACCCTAAACCCCAAACCCTAAACCCTAAACCCCAAACCCTAAACCCTAAACCCTAAACCCTAAACCCTAACCCTGAACCTAGTGTTTTTATTGATATCACAAGGAGCCCGAGACCTTATTCTAATTATTCAGGCTCCTCCAGCCAGGCCTAGGCGGTTTAGGGCTTAGGGTTTTAGGGTTTAGGGTTTAGGGCTTAGGGTTTAGGGTTTAGGGTTTAGGATTTAGGGTTTAGGGTTTAGGGTTTTAAAGCCCAACCTACCAAGACCCGCCGACGAGCTTCTCTTACATCTTCCGTACCAGCAGAGCTCTACTAGGGAGTACTTTGAGGTCCTAGTATAGGCACCGGAAGTTTGAAATAGGTAGCTATACTTGCAAGTGCTTACTTACAACAGTCCAGCTAAAGCACTTGTAACATTGCTTGCCAAGTCTCTGGGTGCTTCAGACACCAACTAGCAAACTTATGTGGTAGTAGGATGCCTCTTCGGTGTGCTATCAATCGGACGTGGAGTACGAAGAGAACTTCCCAGACCTTCCAACATCCCTTAACTAAGGAACATACCGGAATCCTACTATGATCTAGGGTATAATCCTTAATCAGCTCATTTTGGAAGGTCTGGGTAGGGCTTGGGGGTTTCCGAAACCCTAAGCCCTGAACCCAAAACCCAAAGCCCTAAACCCAAAACCCAAAACCCAAAGCCCTAAACCCAAAGCCCTAAACCCAAACCCCAAAGCCCTAAAGCCTAAGCCCTAAACCCTAACCCCTAATCCCTAAAGCCTAAGCCCTAAACCCGAAGCCCTAAGCCCTAAACCCGAAGCCCTAAAGCCTAAGCCCCTAAACCCGAAGCCCTAAGCCCTAAAGCCTAGGCTCTGAACATCTTGGAAGGTCTCGGTTCATGATGTGCAGGAGTTTTTCGGGCGTGGAGCCTGTGGCGGATTCCTGGCTGCGCTACGCAGTGCCGCGGTGTCAACCCAGTAATATAGAGGCCGTATTAACAATTACCTACACTACTGTTGGTAATAGAACTCCTGCATTGCGTTAAGGACCCTAAACTACGGTAATTATGGTATATTCCTTATTATGGGTAATGTAGGATTTATATCATCAACCGCATTTTTTGGGGGGTTCCTTATTAACTCTAGTATAATGGGCCCCAAGACCTACTCTAATTCTACAGGCCCCTATATTGTATATGACTAGTTAGACTAGCAATGCTGTATCCCACCCATTGAGCCTAGACCGCCCCTCATGTCCCTAAGGGTCCATGTGCCTCCATGGCACCTCCGAGGGTCGGGGGACCTAGTAAGTAGTTATCTTAGAGAGTTATAAGCATCATAACCCCAAGTCGGATCCTGTTCAGGCTACGTCTAAATAAGTCCCCCGATCCTCCAGGTACACATCAAGCCTCTTAAGCCCCAAGCCACCCTTCTTGCACGGCTTAGAGTTTAGGGTTCAGGGTTCAGGGTCTGAAAGAACCCGAACAGTCCATGCACCTCCATAGTACCTCTCAAGCTCGGACCCCAGGCTGAATATAGGGTCTAGGGTTTTAGGGTTTAGGGTTTAGCGTTTTAGGGTTTAGGGTTTAGGGTTTGGGGTTTTAGGGTTTAGGGATTAGATGGGCAGGACCCTAAACCCAGTACAGGGGCCCTACGTGTCCCCCAAGCAAACCTTATAGTGCCCCAGTGGTAAAAAGACCCCTCGAAGAGCCCTTGAAAGCAACCCCCAGGACCCTTCCCAGACCTTCCACAATCCGTTAAGTAAGGAACGTACCTTAAATCATATCAGGGATCCGACTTTAGTTTAATAAAGGTATACTCCTTCAGTAAGGAATTTTGGAAGCCCTAAACCCTATACCCTAAACCCTAAACCCTAAACCCTGAAGAAGGGTTCATGCCAGGCACAGTGGCGTCAAGAGAGAGATGCGGCAGCCGCTGAGAGCATGGAAGCATCGGAGTCCCGGCTTCCCTCCAAAGTCGTTAGGGTTTAGGTTTGGGGTTTAGGGTTTAGGGTTTAGGGTTTAGGGTTTAGGGTTTAGGGTTTAGGGTTTAGGGTTTAGGGTTTAGGGTTTAGGTTAGGGTTTAGGTTTAGGATTTAGGGCCGCTTCACCCTGAGGGTCCATCTGGTTGTACTTGAGGGGTCGGGGGACTTGCTACGTAGTTGTTTTATAGACTGATAAATACCAGCCTAACCCCTAAACCCTAAACTAGGATCCCTTTCAGGGGGCTGACAAGTCTACTAATTACCCACTTACTACGACCCCGGACCCTCCAGGTAGGGTTCCTGTAGAGGGTTCGCGGGTTCAGGGCGAATAAAAAGGGGCCTTAACAAGTACCTGTACTATTTTGGGGGCGTACCTTATTTTAACCATAGTATAATATGCCCCAAAACCCTATTCTAATTACTAATTATTAGGGCCTTAAAAGACCTACATAGTAGAAAGTAGGATTTCCATAGCAGGAATAGCTATTGTCCCCATATGGCTACTTCGGATTACCTGGGTTCAGGGTTATTGGTGGCGCACCCTAAACCATAAATCCCAAACCCTAAACCCTAAATCCTAAGCCCTAAACCCCAAATCCTATACCCTAAACCCTAAACCCTAATCCTAAACCCTAAACCCTAAACCCCAAATCCTAAATCCTAAACCCTAA